AAATTTATAAAAAAATAATTAAAATTTTTTATGCATGCAACCGCTAAAATTTTTTATGCATGCAACGGCTAATTTAAATATATATTATTGGGAGACAGATTAGGTATTCAAATCTTAGGGGGATTCAGATCTCCTTCCAATCTTGCATCCCAATACTCTTGTTCTCTATTATATTACAACATAATTTTCATAAATTTAGAATTCTCTCATACCATTTAGTGTTCCTATTACTTGGCCCACTTTCTTTCACCACCACGCCTCGCTTAATCATGCGATCTGTCGAGTATGAGTTGATCAGTCATACTCATATAATTATCTTGTGGATCTGATCTCCATCATAAGCCCCCAACTCTTCATGTGGCGTGTCCCTAATGTTGGCCATGTGTGCAGCAATCGTCCCGTGGCGGAGGCTATGTGGGCCAAGTCACAATCGAATGTCGTGGGGTTGGCCATGTGTGCAGCAATCGTCCCGTGGCGGAGGCTATGTGGGCCAAGTCACAATCGAATGTCGTGGGCGCTTGTGTGATGAATGCACTATAAGGCTAGGGTATGCGCCTCTTCTAACACCAATTGGTTTTAGAAGAGTTGGTAGCACCTGAGATCTTACACGTGGTATCGGAGCCAAGGTCACGAGTTCGATTCCCAGCGGGAGCAATTGCTGAGGGGGAGATTGTTGGCCATGTGTGCAGCAATTGTCCCGTGGCGGAGGCTATTTGGGCCAAGTCACAATTGAATATCGTGGCGCTTGTGTGATGAATGCACTTTAAGGCTAGGGTATGCGCATGTTCTATCACCAATTGGTTTTAGAAGAGTTGGTAGCGCTTGAGGTCCTACACCTAAGGGATTGGTAAGTTGAGAACACTCATGAATTAATCTTTGGGAAGTGCTAAAGTGGAAGCATTTATTTCAAATCGCTGCTTTGAATGCAATGTACCTTTCCCAGCCAGCCTTTGAGCGTCATACCTTTTTTCGAAAAGCTGTGTAGCGATAAATGTGTGTTCCTTTCCAAGGGCCCTTTCTTGACTGTCCCCCTTTCTGGGGCTATAAAGAGCGGGTTTATGCTCTTATCCCTACATAATTCTTTTGCAAAAAGTTCTCTCAATATGTCTTGCGTATTTACCTCTTTATTCTTCTACATTGGAAACCATCCTCCTTTTGATGTTGGACATCTGTGTGAATTGAACTTGCAGCAAGACTCATCTTCGCCTTCAAGGTCTGCGTTGTGCCGAGGATGGTGCGGTGTAAAAACTCATTTAAGTATTCTAGTGCACGCCGGCTTTGACGTCAAAAGGCAAGGGCTAGTCTTGTCCTCTGTGCTTGGCTTGCTCCCATCTTTCCCACAATTTCTTCCCCTGGACCTGTGGATGGGATAACATTGTGACCCTTAGCTGCTGGTCATGTCCTCCTGGCGGTGGCCCTTTGCTTGGGTGACAGGTGTCTCAAGCCATTATCTTCCACGACGCTGTTGTAATCTCCTAGGTGTGTTGGTAACATCACTTGAACAGCTCGAAAACCCCTTATTGGGTCCGGGCATTGTTTTGGACGTGTTAAGCAAAATGTAGATGTAGTCATTGCTTAATTCTTTTTCAACTTTTGTATTTGCTTGTCACTTTATTCCTTGTAACATGCTAAGGTTGTTATTGAATTGTACCATGGTTTTTAGTTATTTTAATAACTAAGGTTGTCTATCCATAACTTTGTTTCAAGTGTTTAGGGTCTAGGGAGTTAATTGACCTCGACCCTAATGACTTGTTTTCTAATTGTTGATGGGAGTCTGGGGTATTGCCCCCTCTAATTTATGCCCGCAACATTTTTTCTAAGTCTTGGGATCCCAAGCTTGATGTCCTTTAGCTTCTTTGGCCAAGAATGCTAACCTCGGGATTTCTGCCATTCTAGTTGTAGGTGTGAGTTCTTCTTTCTGCCAACTCCCTTCTTGGACTACTCAATTTCAGCGCTCAAAGTCTAACTTACCTTTCATCCTGAACCTTATAAATCACGTAATCCCGAGGTATTATATTTACTACCTTAGTTCTCTTTCTGCATGGCATACTCTTACCTACCCTTGCATTGTTGTCATTTTTTGACCGAGCATGATCCTATCTACCCTAAGGATTAACTTAGAATAGATCTTGGAATTTTGTAGTGTTCCACATTCCAAGTTCCCTTTAGCTCTCTTCCCTTAAGGGTCAATTTTCTCTAAGTCTCGGGGCACACAACTGCCTTGACCATATAAGGACCCTCAGAAGACTTGGCAAATTTTTTATGTTGTAGAGGCTTGCTTTTCTCCCACCTTCGCAGGACATAATCACAAACTTCGAATATTCGTGACCTCACCCTCGCATCAAAGTACCCTTTGCCTTTTCTTTTGTAGTTCTTTTCCCAGAATCGAGCATCTTCCCTTCTTGGTTCTAGGAAATGTGATAGATATCCCGTAGCATCCACGAAGACTTTCCGTAGCTCACAAAAGGAAAGGCGGATCAGGAGAATAAGGCCGAACCAACACCCCACCCGACACCGTGGTTGTCCTACACCGCCCCTAGGCCGAACCAACACCCCACCCAACCCTGAAGATCCAAAAACATTTCCTTTTCAAAATAAAGTTTTTCCTACTCTTATTTTAGCCCCTGGCCAAAATAAGAATGTATAAACCAAAACCTTTTGTTTGTTTTTATTTTCCTTCTTTTAAGCCTTTCCAATAAACAAATAAAATCCTCTCTCCTTCCTTTTATTTCCTGGCCAATTAAACCTCACAATCCCAACATAAACACCCACAAAGAGCCAAAACCATGACACACCTCCAGCCCCTACTTCTTGCCCATGATTTCCCTTACAATAACCCAAACCCATAAGTCCAAAAACACCCATGATATTCCCCATCCCTGCCCCCTTTTTATTGGCCAAAAAACAACCCCTCATTTTTTCCAAATAATGCCCACAAAACCCAAGAAACAACCACTACAAACCCAAAACTCAAAGCCCCACAACCCCAACCCCATTCCTGATTTTAATCTACCTTGGAGACAGGATTGAATGAGTGTTACCCCATGCTTTGGAAGAGGATATTGCTAGGAAGCTTCCTCATATACACATTCATTGCATTATGTATTAAGCTTTAATCCTTAATTCATTTCCAACTAGCTCTAAAAGTACTGGTCCTTAGGATTTTTATAATGTACAGGACTTTGGAATAATAGTACCACTTTTCTTTTAAAAATAAATTTCATATTTTTTTTGGTACTACCTCGTCCTAATTAGAAATTAGAACTATAGGGAATGAAAAATGATAGTTTTATTTTTTGGCCTTGAGAACCGAATAGGAATAATTTCTCTTTAGTACATAGCTTTCTTTTCTTTTTTGGCCACTCTTTTGGGCTTAGCCAAACTAAAACAGTTACGTTTCTCAAACCAAACGAAACTGATTTTCTAATTAGAACAGTTTCAACTCATTGATAACTGGCAAAAGATTCCTTCCACTTTTCAACTTCTTGGAAGTTGAAACTCCTTTACTCTCACCGTTCCAACTACTCACTTAATGGAACCCGTGAACCTCCTCCTCCCCTATTTAAATCAAGACATTCCAATCCATTTCCATCACAAACAACTCTCTCAAAATGAAAGTCTTCAAGTTCAATGTCTGAGAAAAACACCAAGAAAATATCCTCAACGGAGAAATTTTTCTTTCTCACCCTCATAGACGGCATTGGAGAAAAGCCTAGTGAGAAGAAAAGTAATTTAAAGTATATGGTGCAATTCTCGGCAGTAGAGAAAGTATATGGTACAATTCTCGCATTTTTCAGGATTATACCATACACTTTCTCTGGAACAACACTCTCTCTATTTTTCTTTTTATTTTTACCTTGATCTCTTTCATCTCCCTCTCTTTCTTTTTCTAGACATTTTTTTGAGCAGTCGCCACACTCTTCTTACAAGTTTTTTTTTTAAAATTTTTTGTGCTGCCTCTGCTCCCTTCTCCCAAGCATTTTTCAAAATCACTTTTTCAATTTGTTTTATTCTAAAACTCTTTTTCAAAATTTTTTTTAAATTTTTTTTTGCCTTCATCTTTAAAAACTTTTACTTTATCTTTTTCACAATCAATTTTCTTTTCCAAAAACCTTTTTCCTTGTCTTTCTGACTTTTTCCTTTCTTCCACCGCCGCCTCCCTTCTCTCCACTTTTCTTTGTTTTTTGTTCTTGCCTTTTGAGAGATGTGTTGCTCCCAAGATCTTGAATATCCACTTTGGATATTAAAGATCTATCAAACGCAACGCCAACTGCTCTGCCAAGCAGAATCTGCTGAAGCTGAAAACGGTCAATGGCGGAAGATATCACAAAATTTCAAGACAAGACTTGGTTTAGGAATTATTGTAATTTGAATTGTATTTGTTTAAGAGTTTTTGTTAACAAGCTGTATATTATGAGAAACTAAAAGAGAGTTATAAAATTAGTTCTCAGTACAGCGACTGGAACTCTTAAACACTTGTTTGTCATCATCAAAAAGGGAGAAATTGTTGGGAAAAATATAGATTTTGATGATGATGTATTTAGAATATAATAGGGACTTTAGGTCTCCCCCCAATATTCAATGTAATTTTTCTTTTTAGAAATATTGTTAAAACCGAGTTCTTGAGATTTCCAATAAAGTTGTGATATTTCTTTAAGCGGTTTGATGCCTGAAGACTTAATCAAATTCAGTGATTTGGAAATTGGATATCTTGATCGGAAATGTCAGAGACAAGTAAGGATTTCTCAAAGCGAATGAAAATCCTCAAATCCGGAAGACTACATAAGAACCGGATGTCTCGCTACAACCCGCTGAAGGCTAAGTCGGAAGACTAGCGCGGATTTCTTTCTCACCCGGAAGACTGAGAACGACTCCTCCGGATTTGTCAGCCAAGAACCGGATGCCTCAAGAAAGACCGGAATTCTCAAAAAGCAGACAAGTGAGAAAAGACTTGGAAAATTATCTAAGTCTTGAATGAAGAAATTCTACCCGTTGGTAAGGAAAAATCAATCTCTTGATTTTCAACGGCTAGATTGAAGATAATTATGCTGATTCAAGAACAAATGACTCAAAAAACAAAGTCTGGACCTCTAAAAATTGAAGAACCTGTCCAGAATTCCTAAACAAGCACTAGAAGACAAACAGAGTAAAGTGCTACAGTCCAGAATCCTTGAACAACAGCTAGAAGACGGATTCTGTGGAAAAAGGAATCCCTTCTCAACAATTGGGTACGTCCAAACACCCACTTCAACGAAGAATCTTCAAATCACAATCTTCATTCAAAATTGAAGCCAGCAAATGCAACGGATAGTCTATTATTCAACGGATAGATTATCCAATCCAGCTAGTCTCTCTCTTTGGAAGTCGTCCAGCATTTTCTGCATCAATTCTGATCCTTCGTGTAATCTCCTTTCGAACTCCTTTTCCTTCCAGACTGATTCAAGAAGTTTTGCTCTTTCTCGAATTGCCACCTTGTTTGCTTCAATTTGTTCTTCAGCAAACAAAGTGTAGTAACGGGAGTAGGGTGGTTCATACCAGGAGCCTTCAGCGAATAAAAGTTCATCGAAATAGAAGATTTTCTGTTCTAATCTTAGGATTTCTTCGACGAGTGGATCAGGTTGATCGTCGCACATAGGCCCAAATTGGTCATAGTCATATTGGTCACCATGAGGTTCATAATAATTATCCCCATCAGAATCTTGGTACGGAGAATATCCAAAGCTCCTAGATGGGGTATCATATGAGGGTTCCTCATGGAAGGGATAATAGTCAGACCCATTGTTGACTTGGTAGTCGTCATCATATGAGTTTTGATGTGGGTGATAGGTTTGGTGGGTTTGGTAC